AGATCTGACGAAGGAATGGAAGAAGCGGTTCATTGTTAACGACGCCCCGACGCTCGCCATCAACCGCCTCTTCGCCATGAATCAAGGCAACACATCGGCAGGCTGGCTCACAGAATGGCAAAAGATCGTGGCAACACCCGATCTCGACTTGCCATTTTCGCATCTGCACCGGGAGTTCTACAACCGGTCGTGTGCCACCTTGAGCCTCGCACTCGGTGATCGCGAACAATACACGACCTTCACCGAAATCATTGACAAGGCTCGTGAAATCATCAAGACCAACCGGGCTGCTGCACACAAGAAATCAGCGTGGCAGCCAGCCTATGTGAAGAAAGGAAAATTTGGTTCGCGTCCACAGCCCGTCGCTGCAGTTCAACCGGACAACCTTGTGGAAGACCCGACAGTCACCCCAGCATCACGTGAGGGAGATCGGGTGGCCGCCGTCCAGCCGCGAAGCAACAACTCCCGTGGAAAAGGGAAGGCGAAAACCGCATCGCCGGCCAAAAATGGACAGCCAGTACCATGGGTCAAGTTCAACTTGACTGAGGCCGAATACAAGTACCGCAGCTGATACGACTGCTGCTATTGGTGCAACAACACCAAGAACAAGACCTCCCAATGCCAAGATCAAGGCAAGGAGGATGTCCAACCTCGAATCAGCTCTCGGGAAACTGAGCCGCGCGGAAGGTGAGGCGACTCCACCTCTCACTCGGCCAGATTCGGCCGCCTTGCTAGCGGCCTCCTACACATATGGGGAGAATCCGGATGTTGCAAGTCCTCGGTTCACTTACGAGGATTACGTTGTCCACTTGGTCCCACCGTTGGAGCGGCCACTCCACGTGCAAGACTCCACCGCATGCACGGTTTCATCACCATCGGCAACCGATTTGGCAGCTTCGCCGCCAACTTTTGCCGGGGATTCGACGTCATGGTCAAGACTTGAGAAACTCGACCCGTTGACGTTCACGGACTTCCAATGGATGCCCCTTCCCACGACCGGTCGATTGCCGAAACCGAATTGCAACACACTCATGATACAATTGCGGGATTACTTGCACACTGCAGTACCAGCTCCGTTGATGGACGCCGGAGTAGGGGTTGTTGACCTTCGCGACTACCTTGCGAAGATCGACCGCGAGCTCAAGACACAAAGGTACGACAACAACGACGCGCCGTTGCTGTACATACGCATTCAGATCGGAGAAGCGACCTGCAGCGCTTTGATCGATTGTGGAGCTACTCGCAACTATATGAGCCAAGATTTTCTGATACGCGCTGGCCTAGGACCACACATTCGGAGGAAGCCACAACCCACGCAAGTCACATTGGCCGACGGTCACATGCACAAGTCAATCGACTCGTGCATTGATTCCGTCCCCGTGTACTTCGCCCCGCATGCAAGCGAGGTCGTGCCCTTTGACATTCTGGACACCCAGTTCGACATGATTTTGGGCATGTAGTGACTGCAAAGCAAGGATCACCTGGTGAACTTCTACCACCGCACAGTTCACATTCTTGATCGGAACAGAGTACTAGTCCCATGCACGGTGCGTCCACCTCACCCTTCGATCAGTTGTCACGTGGTGTCCGCCGCGACCATTCAAGCTTCCATCATCCGGGACGGCATTGAGGAGATGGGTGTGTGTTTTCTCCACGCCCTCCCACCCCATGACATCCCATCGACGGACATATAGACGGACCCAAGCATCATAGAGCTTCTAGACGCCTACGGTGACGTTTTCGAAGCCCCACATATAGTACCGGATCGACCAATCCCCCACGAGATCATTCTCGAGGCTGGGGTCGTACCTCCGCGTGGTTGCATCTACCGCATGAGCGAGGAAGAGTTAAGTGTGCTATGGGCACAACTCGAGGACCTTCTTAAGAAGGGCTCGATTCGGCCTACAGTCTTCCCCCGAACAAAACGCACGTGCGTTGTATATGAATACAACGCACCAGGTGCCTTGTATTCGTATACAACACACGACGCACGTGCATTATGCTACGGGTTTTGGACACCAACTTCTGAAAACGGCCTCCCAGAAAAAATCCGCTATATGCCCTTGCAGCCACGAGCCTGTCCTTGGGGCATCAGTCACAGTTGGAGCTATACACATAAATCGAGAAATGGTCCTCATTACCAAAAAAAAAAAAAGGTCTCCAGAATGAATCTTCCCCTAGAAGACGGAAGTATACGTCCTGCATGTGTAAAGGGGTGGAGTGAGGCCCGACTGTACATAGACAAGAAGACCACCACGTCAGACGGTGATAGGGAAACCACAGAGAGAGAGAGAGAGAGAGAGAGAGAGAGAGAGAGAGAGAGAGAGAGAGAGAGAGAG